CCCCTGCCCCATTCTTCCTGCCTGACACTCTCACAAAGCCCCTAGACGAGCTTTCAAAGGGGCAACTCATGCGGAAGAATTGCTGCCCCCCTCGCCCCCCCCTGCTCCAAACGCAACCCAGCACTTTTCCCAGCGGGGTGAGGGGCTCCCACTCCCCCAGACCCCTTGTTTGGGGGCGATTCCGTGCGTCTCAAAGCGGGCAGGAGCGCTCATTCCCAGCGCCACCCACATCTGTGGTGGCTTTTCCTGCTCCTGTCCCTCGTGTCAGCTCTCGGGGGTCGCGGGGCAGGGCAGGGACCGTGGGGTGGGAATGGATGGGCGCAGGGTGGGGATGGAATTGGGGGGTGGGACAAGGACTGTGAGCGGGAATGGAGTTGGGGGACAGGATGGTGACCAGGGGGGGTGGCTTGGGGACAGAATGGTGGCCCTGGGTGTGGGTGAGACCTGGCAGAGGGCAGGACCCCACAGGCAGGGATCGCGGTGGGCTGGGCTGAGCCCCGTGGCAGGGGCGCGATGCGTGGGTGGGACAGGGCAGGGTGGGGACCCGCGGGCAGGGTGGGGACCCACGGGCAGGGCAGGGCTGGGTGGGACCTGCAGATCCTGGAGAATCCCTGGGAAGGGAGGAGCAGGGAGCCGGCTCTGGTCCTTGGCCCGGGAATGGTTCCGGCTGTGCCTGGCTTTCCCGTTTTATAAAATCCCAGAATCCCGGAACGGTTTGGGTTGGAAGGAACCTTRAARTCACGTTCCACCCCCCTCACCATGGCCAGGGACAAYTTCCACYATCCCAGGGTGCTCCAAGCCCCKTCCAACCTGGCCTTGGACACTYCCAGGAGCATCCACAGCTTCTCTGAGCATCCTATACCATCTCCTCCCCACCCTCACAGGGAGGAATTCTTTCCCAATATCCCCAAATCTTCGCTTTTTTGGTTTAAAACCAGTCCCGGGGATGGGGGGTCCCGCGTGCTGCGGCGCCCCCTGGTGGCCAAACCAAATTATTCCCAAACCCCCCCAGGTCCCCGCGTCGCCCCCCGGGCCCCGCAGCCCCCCGGGCCCCACCGCTCCCCCGATGTACCCCTGAGACACCCCCGGGCCCCACCGCGACATGTTCGACCCCGCGGGACCCCCGGCCGCCGGCTACAGCGAGCAYTGCTGCCTGCATCCTCCCCACGGACCAGCCCCCGCCGCCCCGGGACCRCCAGGTGGGTCAGGGTGGGGGTTTCAAGCTCCGGATTCACCCTCCGAGGTTAGGAGGGCTCCGAGAGTCCCTCTCTCCAACCGTCCTTACCTGTTTTCTGTCCTCCAGGACTTGATTTCCCCGTGTGCCATCAGCCCGGACACCGTGGCTATGGGCTGGCACCAGGAGCCGAACACCCTGGTGATGGTGAGACTTCGGTTTTGGGGAGGCCACGGGGCAGGGGGGATTCCACAGAGGAGTTAAACATCTCTTGTGTCCTAAATCTGAAATGTGCTGGCACGCTCGGGGCAGCAGCTGTGTCTCCTGGGGGTGTCTGCAGCCCCCCATGCCCACACTGAGGGCAGTGCCCACTGCTCTGCCCCTCCCAGGCTCCCGGTTCTCCACGCCCCGCGGCGCAGGGAAGTTGGGGAAGAAGCGGGCGCTGTCCATCTCCCCTCTGTCCGACTCCAGCATCGACCTGCAGACCGTGATCCGCACCTCTCCCAACTCCTTGGTCGCCTTCATCAACTCCCGCTGCGCTTCCTCCGGCGGCTCCTATGGGCACCTCTCCATCAGCACCATCAGGTGGGCACTGSTGGGAGCCTGGCTGGGAGCTGAGCRCCCCTTCCCACTTTGGGAAGCRCTGGGAGAGCYGTTTGGGATGATGGRGAAGGGRTGGTTGGGATCTCTGSCTCAGCASRTGTCRATTCTGTCACCTGCTGGTGTCACCTGCTCGTTTCTCTGCTCTCCACAGCCCGTCCCTGGGGTACCAGAGTCCACCCGGGCAGCAGAAGGGCCAAGGGCACCTGTACACGCCTCCCCAGCCTTGCGGCTCCCACGAGCTGCCCACGCGCCC